CGAGACTGTGCCGTGCGAGGGTCCTTAGATCATCCACAGACTCTGGAAAGCGGGGGGTGGGGGAGGGCATGGTGTGATGGGAAGAGACCCAGGCTGGTGACAGGAGACGGGTGACAGTGTGGAGCTCGCCGGCCTCGGGGCGGGGGCGGGGGGGAGGGGGCACCAGGCTGCATGCATCGGCTCTCTGGACCCAAGCGTCTCCTCGGGGACAGTGTGGCACCGTGGTCTCCAGTTTCTTCCGGCACTGCTGTCCTGTGACCCCAGGAAAGGCCAGGCTGACCCTGGAGAAGGTGCCCGTCCTCATGCCTGTGCCCCTCAGAGCGTGAGATCGGACTCAGCCGGGGTCAGCTAACCCCCAGGAACCCAGAGGCGCTGGGTGGTCTGTGGCTGGACGGGCGGGGTCTGGAACTTCCCCGGAACCGAGGAGGAGGCAGCGGCTCTGGGCAGAGCCGGGATCGGACGACGGGACGGTGAAGGCATGAGAGGGACTCGTCCGGACTGTCCCGGCTGTACGAGACGTGACAACCGCCCCCCCCAGCCCCCCCTTCAGACATCTGTCGTTGCCGTTCAACTGGGCGGTGGGCTGGAGTGTGAGGGGACCCGGGGGGGGGCTTCAGTCTCCACGTCGGGGGAGGAAGATGTTGGGGGTGGGAGCTACCAGGGTCCAGGGCTCTTTCCCAGGTAGGAGAAGGGCTGTGCCCGGACTGACCCCTCGCAGCCTTCTGCCCGGCCTCCCGCTGGCTGCCACGCCTGCCCCTTCTCCGTGCCCCGTGCTTCCCGGGGAGCGGGGGTCTGGGGCCGGCGCTCTCTCCCAGGACCCGTCCACGCTGCCCCCTGTCTCCCGCCCCAGATTCATCCTCATGACAGACCCTCAGGCTGCACCAGGCCGACTCGGACGGCGGTGGCGGCCACCCTCCCGCCGCGCACCCGGACAGAGCGTGGGCGTCGGCAGGACAGCACGCCGGCCCAGAAGAAGCCGCTGGTGCCGGTCGGCGAGAGGAGGGGCACTGCTGCCCCCGGGTCCTGGGGCAGCCGTCCCGCGTGTCACGGCCTGGCGGGGTGGCATGAGGAGGGCAGGGACCTCTCCTGGCTCCCACCGCCACCTGTCAGGGGGCGCTAGGCCCTCCCTTGTCCGGCTCAGCACCACGGTCAGCACTGGGCGTGCACAGGTGGCCACGTGCCAGGAGACTGGGCCGCCGGCTGGCCGCTCAGCTCAGGGCCTCACGCCGCACGCTCTGAGTGGCTCTGCGCCTCAGGTCCCGTCACTGGTCACGCGGCGCTTGTCATTTTCTCAGCAGTGACAGCGTCACTGGAATCCAAGTACCACATTCCTGTGTTCACTGGCCGCAGGAAATGCTGACGTTCATCCGTGTACAGAGTCAGAAGAGAAGCTCGGACCCAGCGCCGTGGGAGCGGCGGTCGGGCCGCGCCGCCTGCGTCCTGGGAGAGGCACGGAGCTGCGGCCGTGGAGCAGCGTCTCCTCTGGGTCCTCGTGCTTCTGCGTTGCTCCCGAGCACGTGTCCGCTTGGCCACGGCCTGTTTCAGCCGCCGGGAAGAGCAGCCGGAACACGGGACTAGGCCTTGAAGAAACTGAAAGGTCTCTCCTGGACATTTCCAGGAGAGACAAAGCATCAAGCGCCAGCACCTAAATCTGCAGATTCGTCACCCACAGGGCTCTGGCCACGCCAGCTCTGGTCTCGAAGGCAGAGAACCGACGCCTTGCAGGACCACATCTCTGTTGCCGTCTGAGGAGTTCCTCTGGCTTTCTTCTGATGGTGACCGTTGAGCACAGGCTGTCTGCGACAGAGTGACGCAGAGGGGACAACACTCGGACCCTCAGAGTCTCACAAAGCCCCGCAGGGGCCAGTCCTGCACCTGTAGCAGCAATAAAAAATGAGGCTCCTCACTGGTGACAAAAACATCGGAGAGGTGCGTGAGATTAGCCGCCGCAACGGGTCTGCCCTCCGGGCTCGGTGCCCCCCCCCCCCCACCGCAGGAAGAGACCGCACCGAGTCCCCCCTCCGCCCCTCACACAGGGGTCCGTGCTTCCACCCGGCGGCGAGCGCCCGGCCTGGCCCGCAGAAGGTGATTCCTTCGCAAGTGCTGCCACCCGAGCCCGGCCCGCACCCGGTCCCACGGGAGCCGCCCCCCCACCCCAGCCTGCAGAGCGCTGCCGCCCCTGCGGGGCCCTGCACGCCGCCGCCACGTGGTTCTTGGGAGCGCTGTCTGCGGGGCCACAGCCGGTCCCCAGCCTGACGCAACTAGTGACTGGCCAGGGAGGGGCTGGCCGACAGGGCCGAGGGACTTCTGCTTCTGAGTCCACTCTGAGGGCACCGTGCCGGGTGCCCGGGACCCTGCCGATCCCACCGTGAGGCTCCGAAGCCGGAAGGCACATGGGGGCGGCCTCCGCCTGCCAGGTCTCCAGAGACGGGGAGACCTCCTCCCAGCTGCTCACAGCCCCTCCTCTGCGTGCAGCCGTGCGTCTGTGTTCGTTTCAGCCTCCTTGGGGGGGGGGCGGGTTATGGGGGGGGAGGGGTAGCACCCACTGGTCCACAGGGTGGGAGCTGTCTCGCGGCCCTGTGGTGGGAGCCGCCAGAAGCTGCCAGAAGCCCAGAGGGAACGGCAGAAACCGTCTCCTCCTGGGGACAAGTGAACCGCGAGACGTCAGGACAGTCGCGTCCACAGCCGGGCTGGCGGGAAGGTCGGGAGCCCGTGCGGTGCGGGTCACTGTCACGCTCCGAGTGCAGCCTTCCCTGTGGGTTTAAGGAGCCAGAACACGACCTCCGTGTTCTGTGTGCCCCTCCCCTGTTCACACGGACCCCTCCTGCCCCGGTTCTGGAGCACGGGAGGCGGGCCACGGAGAACACGGAGAGGACACGGTAACTCTCGCCTGGCTGCGGCACCTTCTGGGACTCAGTGTCCGGGGGGCCCCCGGGGTGGCACGCAGGTCCCGGGTCTGCAGTGCCCGGGTCACGGTCGTGTCCGGGCGGCGCTCTGCAGCTGCCGTGGCGCTGGCCGCGCCGTCACCCGCTGGCGTGTGCGGGTCACGGGGCCCCGCGAGCCTGGCGCCGGGGCTCCTGGAGGGAACGTGCCGATCCAAGTGCGTAAACTGAGGGGAGAACACATCTTGTACTTTTTCAAACATTAATTAGAACAGGTTGCTTCAGTGCTCAAGAGCCCCAGGAGCCCTGAGCTGGGGCGTCTCGCACACGCAGGCAGACAGACACCCCCGTGGTGCTCTGGGGGCGGCCTCCCCCCCCCGCCGCGTGCTTGGGGACGGACTGCGTGTCCTCGCCCTCGTGAGAGCGGTTTGCGGGGCTTGCCCGGGAGAGGGACCATCTGTGTTCCAGACAGTGGGTGACGCTCTGTGACCGTGACACAGAGTGCCACCCACAGAGTGCCACCCACAGAGTGGCACCTCCGGTCTGCCGCCGCCGTTCAGGAGGACGTGTCAGGTTTTCACAGCGTGCAGAGGCGTTCCTGTGACTGACGTGCCGAAGGGCCAATCGGGGGCGGGCGGCGTGACCCCCACCGAGGGAGTCCCGGGGCCCCCGCCCCAGCTTCCATCCACATGCCTCGTCCCTTCAGCTCAGGAGCGAACGTTCCGGATTCTCCTCCATCGTGTGTCCGTCGCAGGAGCAGAGAGCGGGTGTGGCCGTGGCCCCCCGTCAACCAGACCCGGGTTGGGGAGGGCTGCGCAGTGAGGGTCCGAGGGTCACCCCCGGGTCTGCAGTGGGCGCGGGGGAGGCCGAGGGGTGAAGAGACGCAGATCCCGGGGCCCCCTCAGTGCGGAGCGGGGTGTCCTTCAGGCGAACTCGGGCATTTCGTGTCATGTTTAACACAGTCTTTCCTAAGCAACACCTTCCCTGAGGGGTTTCCTCAGACCCGACGGCACGGTTGTCCACACGTTATCTCTACCAGCTCGCCAAAACCTCCCTGCTGCCCTGTGGCGGGTGAGGGGCGCCGCGCCGTGTGCCGGCTGGGGTCCCGGCCGTCTGCGGCGTCCCTGTGCCCGCTCTCCCCGGTCCTGCCCTCAGGGGCCTCGGCCGATGCCCACTCCCCCCCGCCCCTCCCCACCGGGGTGCCCCCCCCCCAGGAGTCACACGAACCAGGTTTCGCTTCTGAGCTCTGGCTCTGCCTCCCCGTGGCGTCACCGAGCATTCTGATAAATCGCCTCCCAGGTACCCAGGTCAAAATAACTCTTTTTTTTAAAGATTTTATTTATTTATTTTTTTAGAGAGGGAAGGGAGGGAGAGAGAGAGAGAGAGAGAGAGAGAGAGAGAAACATCAATGTGCGGTTGCTGGGGGCCGTGGTCTGCAACCCAGGCATGTGCCCTGACTGGGAATCGAACCTGCGACGCTTTGGTTCGCAGCCCGCGCTCAATCCACTGAGCGACGCCAGCCAGGGCAAAAATAACTCTTAATTCAGCCCAGACGTGTGCTTCTGACACTGAAAGCACATGGCGGTGGCGGCGGCGGCCGCGGTGGCTGCCCACGGTTCCTCAGGAACGCGAGACTCCCCACTCCCGCGCCGCCCGAGCCCCCGGGGGGCACAGGCCCCTCGGAAGCAGTTGCCGCGAGCATCTGCCTGAGCGAGGGAGCGAGCGGGGTCCGTGAACTCTCCCCAGGTGCGGTGGCGCGACCCGTGGAAAGGGCGGGTGTGCACCTGGTCGGGCCGCGAACGGATACAGCCAGCCAAGAAATGAGCCATTCCCCAAGTGCAGACGCGGTGAACGCTCGCGCCTCTAAGGGACAGTTGCCGCACACATTGGTTTACTCTGAGGCTGGCTGAGGACACGAGCGGTGAGAGGGAAGAGTGCCCCGGCGGCTCCTGCTCCCGGGGCACAGGCGCCGGCAGCTCCCCGGGGCCGGGCCTGGGTGTGGCCGCGGGGCGCGGCGCGCGGTGCCCTGCGCCGTCCCGGCTGTTGCCGCCGGACTTCCCGTGCTAGCCGCTTCTCCCTTTTCTCTCCTCTCTGTCCTGTCTCTCGTTGTCGTTGCAGAGGACCGCCAGCTGAGCTGCCACGGCGGCCGGCTGCTGCAGGACGCGGAGAAGGACGACAACAACAACGACGAGTACGACAACTACGACGAGCTGGTGGCCAAGTCGCTGCTGAACCTGGGCAAGATCGCGGAGGACGCGGCCTACCGCGCCCGCACGGAGTCGGAGATGAACAGCAGCACCTCCCACAGCCTGGAGGACGAGGGCGACCCCAAGAACGAGAGCCTGGGCCGCAAGGGCGAGCTGAGCCTGGACCTGGACAGCGACGTCGTCCGGGAGACGGTGGACTCGCTGAAGCTGCTGGCGCAGGGCCACGGCGTGGTGCTGGCGGAGCACGCAGGCGACCGGGGCTACGCGGACCCCCTGGCGCCGCCGGACGGCCGGGGCGCGGGCTACGCGATGCTGGGCAAGCCGGGCCTGAACAACGGGCTGGCCGACAAGCCGGTGGAGGAGAGCGACGAGGAGGTGTGTCTGAGCAGCCTGGAGTGCCTGCGCAACCAGTGCTTCGACCTGGCCCGCAAGCTGAGCGAGGGCAGCCCGCAGGAGCGGGGCGCCCCGCAGGCCCCGGGCGCCCGCCCGCACGCGCGGCCGGAGGACGACTTCCCGGGGCGGACGCCGGACCGGAGCTACTCGGACATGATGAACCTGATGCGGCTGGAGGAGCAGCTGAGCCCCAGGCCCAGGACTTTCTCGGGCTGCGCCAGGGAGGACGGGGGCCCCGAGAGGGAGGACGACGCAGCCTCCGTGGCCTCGGACAGGTCCGAGGAGGTGTTCGACATGACCAAGGGCAACCTGACCCTCCTGGAGAAGGCCATCGCCCTGGAGACGGAGCGGGCCAAGGCCATGAGGGAGAAGATGGCCCTGGAGGCCGGCCGGCGGGACAGCGCGCGGTCCTACGAGGAGCAGTCGCCGCGGCCGCTGCCCGGGGACGAGCGCAAGCCCAAGCCGGGCGACGGCCACGTCAAGAAGCCGTACTATGGTAAAGGTAATCTTTCTGCCTAGCGAGGGTGCCTCCCGGAGACGCGGGCCCCAGGGAGAGCAGCGGGGGGAGCTCACGGCCGACAAACATGCGCCCCACCGCAGACGCGACCTCCGGCGCCCGTCCCTCGGGGCCGCGCTCCGCGACCGCGTGTTCCCGGGGAGCCGGCGGAGCGTGGGTCCGAGGACCGCACGGGGCGGCGCGGGGCCGCGCTCCCGGAGCACACAGAGCAGAGAGCGCTGGGCGGGCTCCGTGGGAAGGCGAGTCTCGGGGGGGAGGGCCGGACCCCGCAGGCCCCGAGCTGGGACGGCGAGGACGGGCCTGTGGCCGCGGTCTGGCCGCGCTCGGAGAGCAGGGGGCGCCCGCAGCGGGCAGCCAGGCGGGGGAGGCTCCGGGCAGGTGACCCCCCGGCGGCCAAAGGGACCACCGAACACAGTGGCTGGTAAAGCCTCCCCCACAGGACACGCCCCCGGTCGAGACAGAGCGGCGACGCAGCGGCGGGTGCCGTGAGACGAGGGCAGCGAGGGCACGCTAGTCACACGCGAGGGCACGCTAGTCACACGCGAGGGCGTCTGTGATGGGAGCCCCCCTGCCCTGCGTGCGAGGCGCGGCGTGTCTCCTGCCGAGACCGGCACTCACCCCCCCCCGCCGGCTCCACGGCGTCGTGGGGGCGTCGTCACGCTCGTTTCACTGGGAAACACCCACCCGGCGTGGCCGTCCCAGCGAACCGGCACGCGTGGACTCTGCGGGCGCAGGCTGGCGCTGCTCTCCATGCTCAGCCCGCACGCGTTAGTCCCCGTGCCGACGGCTCCAGCTCGAGCGGTCGGCTCCCCACTGCAGTGCAGCCGGGCCCCCCCCTCCCCGGGGGCAGGCGCCCGCTGCCCCCCTCGCAGAACTGGGGCGCTCTGCCCGAGTCCGTCAGAGGCTCCTCCAGAACTAGGTAGGGAGCAATTCCAGGAACAAATTCGGCGATTCCGTAAGTCCTCCCACACGAGTGCCACAAAGGCCCCGGGCTGTGTGTGTCATCCCAGTCCTTGTCAGCCCCGGGTCCCCTCCCTGTGGGTCTGACCCTGAGCCCCCGGAATTGCGCGGCATGAGTGCCAGACAGTCAGAAGAGCCCCCTCTTCTGCTGTGACGTGGGTGCGTATTCTCCTCTCGATGTGTGCACGCAGCCCGCGGCGGGCTGGGCCTCGAGAGACCCAAACCCCGTTCACGACGAGACTGAGCCGGAGGCCCTCGGGTGCTCCATCCGGCCGGAGCGCCCAGGTCGACTCGGGGACGTGGAGGGCAGCCCGCCAGGGCGAGGTGCACGGGAGGCAGGGCTGGCGCTCCAGGCGAGCGTGGTGTGCTGGTGCCGTGGTCGTGGCGGAGTCCGTAAGAGCTTGTCAGGTGGACGCTTGGGACCACAGCTCAGCGTTTTTGGGAGGCAGCAGTGTCCCCCGTCGAGGCTTTCCTGGCTGCACGCAGGCACTGGGCCAGCGCTGACTGACGGCCTGGGAGCGGTGCGCAGGGGACCCTCGGCACCGAGGAGGGCGGGTGTGGGCGCACTGGGCACCGCGTCTCCGGTGTCTGTGGCCCCACCACACCCAGGGCTCTCTGTGGGTTTGACTCACTCGGTTACGTTATTGTCGTTCTGGGTTTGTTCGGTGGTTTGTTGTTGTTGTTGTTGTTGTTTGTAGTAAGAATCGGAATTCGAGCCGCCTGGTTCCCATAAGTAGACAGGACAGGGAGGGCGTGAACAGTGAGGCTGAGATGAGCCTTTTCCCCAGAACGGGGAGGGCTGTGGAGTCGGACTTTTTTTAAGTGAACCGGGAAGCAGGGGCTCCTGCCTCGGCCCGGTTTTCTCGGGCCGGGTCCTACGGAGAGCGGCTCACTTCCCTCCTGCAGCACGCCCCACTGGTCCCCCGTTTCCTCTGGAGACGCCCCCAGTTGTGTCGGAGCCCGGTGCATGCAGCCGGGCGAGGACCCCAGAGCAGCAGGGAGGGGGGCCCTCCTTGAGAAAGGGGTGGTGTCTCATCGGCACGTCCCAGCAGTCCCTGTGAAGCCGTCTCTGTTTCCAGCTGCCGCTGTTTCGTTAAAGGTGAAGAGGCCATGGGCACCAGCGCCCGGCTCTGTCCAGTCCTCGCACAACGATGTACGTGGTGGGTGAGCAGCCCTCCCAGCTGGACCCGTGTCCATCTCAGCCGGGAACCAGAGGTCCAGCGTGAAACTCCTGGCTTCCCCCTCGGCACCCGCTAGGAAGGGGGCACGGGGGCCGCTAAACCCAGCATCCATCCAGGTTTCTTCTGGATGTCGCGGCCCGGTTTTCCGTTGAACCGTCGGTCTGTTTGCTTGCCGGGTGGTTTGGTGTTTGCTCCGATGTGTGCCTCGGAGACGGACGGGGGTTGGCAGAGGCGAGGAAGTGAGGGGGGCCGTGGCGAGGGCTCGCGCATCGAGAGGACAGCGGCCCCTGCCACCCCCCAGAACCCGAGGCAGGCGGAGCCTCACCGAGTTCACACAGACCTGCCCTTGACCCCAGGCCCTTTGCGAAACAGTGGGTGTTACGTGTCCTGATGGGAAAGGGTCACTCGACGATGAGTGGTAGTCATGATTTGCTTTTGGTCCTTTAAAAGCCGTTTATATCTAGCTTATCGTTATAAATTACTATGTCTCTCGTTTATGCTCTTAATCAATACTTTCCTTTGAAACTGTTCCTTTACACTTTTATAATTGCATTGATTAAATTACACAAATGTTATTGTGAAATTGCTCACGAAGGCATGAAATGCTAGGCTCTGGGTTTGCGTGTGTAAGAGCTGAAGCCACGGCATCCGGCTTTCAGACCCGTGTCCAGGGACTGCCGTCTGCGAACAGTGGCCGAGAGTGGCTGCCCGTCGCGTGGAGGGCGCTCCCTGGGCCTCAGCACGGGTTCGAGAGACCGCAGAACCTGGAAGAGACACGTGGCACGGAGTGGGATGCTAGTTCAAGGGAGGGGGCCCTTTACAGACACACCAGAACCTTTAGATGGCCCTGCAAGTCCTCTGTCCATTCCCACTTTCGTGAATGACTTCAGAAAAAGTCAGTGAGATGTTAAAATTTTTAAACCAAGCTTTTTCCTCTATATAAAATGAATTCCTAACCAGAAGGAAAACATGTTCTTCAACAGTCACGATTGGCTTGATTAATGAGATATTCATGTAACAGTACTGAGTACCTAGAAGAAACTGTACCCACGGTGTCCCCTGGACCAGGGCACACTGGTCACTGCCGGCTGGTGATCTGTGCAGCGGGCTTCCCACGCCGCGGCGCCGTGGGGTCTGAGCTCCACCCCAGAACTGCCGCCGGGGCTGCACATTGACGCACGGGGCCGGTCCTGGGTGCAGACGCAGTTTCTGAGCAATGCCGTTGCACTTCTGCCTCTGGCCCCTCCCCCTTGCCCCTGTCCCCCCCGCAGAGCGGCAGCCACCCCAACTCGGTGTCGGGGGGCCGTCCTCTGGCCCCAGGGCGCTGGGAGAAGCCCCGGCAGGCAGGCACTCGGCAGCTTCCGGGACGGTCTGACTGCGCATCCCCCGGGTCGGGCAGGGCTCCCACCACCCGGGTCACCGGCTTGCAGGGCCTCCTGAGAGTGCGTCTCACTTTCAGAAAACCCCTGGACTGAGGTGCTGCCGGCCAGTGTTGCAGAGGACACGTTCGGCACCGGCACACCCGCACACCTCAGTGTCTGCAGTCAGACAGGGCGCTCAGACGGGCGCAGACGGGCGCAGCGGCCGAGGAGCCAGCGCCGCACGGCATCCGCCTGCCCGCGGGCGACGCGGGAGGTCTGCGCTCTGAGAAGGCTGCTGCCGCATCCCGGTGCCCGCCGCTGTCTCCGAGCTCCTCGTGTAACACACGGGGAGACCACGGAGAGTTCGGGGAGGCACAGCCGTTGGTTTTCTTTAGCACAGAAAGTAAAACATGCCATGACTCGTGATTACACTTTTCGGGTCAAAAATCACCCCAAACCAAAGAGCCACGCAAAAGCCTGTGGTCGCAGCCTGTCTCCCGACACCTGCTTCACTTCTGTGTTTGTCAAGGTCTCTTCCGAGTGTGAAATGATCTCGTGTGTCTCCAGGGGGGAAAGGGTTCACTCTCCTGACACCTGTTGTCGCTTTTAGATCCCTCGAGAGCAGAAAAGAAAGAGAGCAAGTGTCCGACCCCAGGCTGTGACGGAACCGGCCACGTGACTGGGCTGTACCCGCATCACCGCAGCCTGTCCGGATGCCCGCACAAGGACAGGGTCCCCCCGGAAAGTAAGTCGTGCCGCCCGCCCCCCGCACACACGCCTGCCGCCCTCTCGGTCATCTCTCTCGCCTACGTCACGTCCGTCCGTCCACAGGGCGGCCGCCCAGCCCTGGCGCGCTCGTGGGGGCCGGCGGGCTCCGGACCTCTCCCCCTGGGGGGGGGGGCAGTGTGTGCCCCTCTGCCCCTTGGGCGGGCCTGGGCCCTGGGCCTGGCTTCTCACCCGCCTGCTTCTGGCCCTCAGGCCGGCCGCCACCCTCCCCGCCTCCTCCCGGGCTGCAGTGCTGAAGGCAGGCCGGCTGCATGTCCCCCCCACCCCACCCCCACACGCAGGGGCCGGGAGCCCCGAGGAAACCCCCGGGGAGTCTGGCCGCCCGGCCCCCTGGGGCGCTGCGTGTTTGCGAATCAGCATGGATGTCCGCGTCCTGTTGCGTGCCACTCAGAAGGTCTGTTCCGTGTCACGGCCGTCCCACCGCCCCCGCACAGCAAAGTCTTCCGTCCGGAGGCTGTGGTGGGCGGGCCCTGACCCCACGTGGTTGTGTCCATCAGTTGGGCTTCGTGCCCGTGAAACAACTGAATTCCCTGCAGAGCTGAGCCAGAGCGCACTCTCCCTGGCTCCCGCTCGCGCAGCACGGGAAGTGTGCCCGCCGTTTTCAGACGGCCGGAGCCCTCGCTCAGGAAGAACTAGCGGTGGGACCGTGGGGATGTGAGTCCCAGGCCCCCCCCCACCCCCCCCCACCCCACCCCCGTGTCTGGGATGCAGCTGCGGGGCAGGAGGGCAGGGCTGCTGGGCTGGAGACGCGGCGAGAGGACCGGCCGGCTGTGCACGGGGGCTTGTGAGCCCGGTCCCGTTAAAATGCTGACTCTGGGCACCAGAGGCAAATCTGTCGGAGCCCAGAGAGGTTCGCGCTAGGTGAGGCTGAGAGCACAGGCCGCGCAGGGCATTTTCGGGTGAGGCGCACTTAGAAGCTCCCCTGGCTCCGGGTTGCAGACGGCGCTGAGGAGAGCGAAGCCGCGCCTCCTGCCCGCGTCCGGGGGCGGGCGAGAGGGCCGTGGGCGCCGGCGCCCCGCCCCGTGTGCTGCCCGACCAGGGCGACCGCCTGGGCGGCCGCAGCCACTGCCCCTGAGCCCGGCGCTCCGCTCGCAGCCCGCCCTCGTCCAGCGCCCTCCAGGCCCGCGGGCAGCGCTGGCCCGTTTCCAGGGAAACGCGTGCAGAACCCCCCCCGCGCCGCCTTTCCAGGCCGAGCGCAGGGCCCGGCCAGCGGGAGACGCCCCGTCCTTTCCAAACCCCCCCGACACGTGCGAGCCGGCCGGGGCAGGGAACTCGCGGGCTCGGGGCCACGCCCCTCTGGGTCGCGAGCCCGCGGGTCTCCACGGAGACTGGGGCCTAGCCCCGCCCCCTTCCTGCCCGCGCTGACCGGCGCGGCCCCGCGGACGGACGCGGCTGCAGCCCGGTGCTCCGTGCCCCCCGCCTGCAGAACGAGAAGCGAGAAGGAGGTCGCGGGCCGCACGCCCGTTCGTGAGAGAAAGCGTCTTCGCGCCGTTTCTCTCTGAGGCACGCGTGTCCACCTGGAAACAGAGCGGTTCCTCCTCGTGGCCCACAGGCCCCCGGCTCCACGTTTCCACGGGCGAGGCGAGCTGCGGCAGAAACGGGGCCGCACTCCAGCGAGTCGCCCGCTGGGTGGGCTCACGCGGACCCCCCCGGTCCTCGGCCCCACCACTGACCCCCCCAGGGGCCTCCCCAGTGTTTGCTCACGTTCACGTAAGACTCCTCGCGGCACCTCTGGAGTGGGAAGGCGTCACGCTCCCACTGAACCCCGCAGAGCACCCCGCAGAGCACTTACTCTGCAGCCCCGTTTGCGCGCAGCGTCACGGGCCAAGGCCGCTCCGCAGGCCGCGCCCCCAGCCCTGGCCCCCTGGGAGCCTGGGTCCCTGGACAGGACACCGCACGGGCCGATGCGGCCCCCGCAGACGCGGCCCTGAGACCCCGGGGCGGTGGCCGCCCTGCGTCAGCCGGTCCCGTGGGAGGGAGGAGGAACTTGGCGTTCACGAGAGCGCCCGGAGCAGCCCGGGCGAGGGACCGGGCCTGGCGGAGCCAGGTGGCAGGGAGGGGGAGGGGGGCGGGTTCAGGAAGCACCCCCGAGAGGGGCCGGCGGGGCGGGGAGGCCGGCTCCCGGGAGGGGGAGACACAGTGGGAGGGGAAGGCGGGGCCGGGCACCGGGGGACTCGGCCAGGTGGCTGCAGCGCGGGGAGGCTACCTCTGTCCCACGGACACGGAAGTGCCGCCAGGCCACTGACACGGGCAGGTGTGTGGGAGCTGTGCGGCCGGCCCTCCGTGGGGTCAGTGGACACCGCGGTGAGGTCGCCTGGACGGAGCCGCAGTCGGGAGTTCAGGACACAAAGGGACGGGAGGGCGAAGCCGGGGGGCGGGGGGCAGTGGAGAGAAGTCAGAGGACACGGGGGACCCGGCGAGGACAGTGTCTCCGCCCCCGTCCCCCACGCGAGGGCGGTGCCCGAGGCCTGGAGAGGTCCGGGAGGGGGGCCGGAGAGCAGGGGGAAGGACCGGCTGGCGGTGTGGGGAGGAGGCAGAGGCCGTGCAGACTCCAGGGGGCAGGGGTCCCACTGGGTGGCGGGGCACAGAGGTGCCGTCACGCCGGGTCTGCACCTCAGACAGGCGTGAGGGGTGGGCGGTCTGCACCGCAGACAGGCGTGAGGGGTGGGTGGTCTGCAGGGACCTCCGGCGTAGAGGGAGGGCGGGTGCTGTCCGACCGAGAGCAGCTGTGCCGTGGGCGGGGTCTGCGAGACGCTTCAACAGGGTGGTCACAGAGTAGGGGAGTCCGGAGTGGACGGCACCGTGGGTGGGGCGGGACCCCGGGGGCGGGGGAAGAGCCCATGTGGGGACAGAGACCCTGCCTCTTCTGAGCCCGCGGACACCCAGGGGGTGGGGCCCAGGTGCCCCCGGAGGGAGGTGTCCCTGCCCCCTCCCAGCCAGCCCACCCCCCCAGAGGGGGCCAGCCCAGCCCCTGACTCCACGGGGGAGACACCGAGGGGCGACCAGACCGCAGGGACGGCCCGGAGCCGGGGGTGAGGTGCAGGCTCAGGGAGTAAACTGGAGTCACGTGGGACAGCGTGCATGCTGTGCACGTTTCAGGGGACGGGAGATTGTTCTAGAAGGAAGAAGGCTACAGAAAACAGAGCCCTGTGACTCATCTGGGCAGCCCCTGCTGGGAGGGGGCCTTCCATGTCCGCCTGCACTAGGTGAGGCTCACCCGCAGGGAAGGTCCCCCCAGGTTCCGGCCGCTCTGCTTCCGGGGGGCGGTGGCCAGTTGTGCTGGGGCCAGTGTCACGGGTCACTTCTCTCGCCTGTCCACCTGCACCTCTCACGCCCACCTGCCTCCCCCACAGCCCGGAGCAGTGGCCTGTTCATCCAGGCGGGAGGCCCGTGGCCACGAGGGCCGTGAGCTCGCCGCAGGCGGGCAGGCTGGCTGCTGCCGGGGGCACACGGCCGCCGTGTGTCATGCAGCCCCCACTTGCTGGTTCACGGGCTCAGCGGCCCAGCTCTGGCCAGTCCAGATGGAAAGTCGTTACTTAACGCATTTGACTTAAAAATAAGGTCTGGGCCTCTCTGTTTACTCTTGTCCACGGCGCTCGTGACGCTGCGTGTGTTTGAGGCGGCAGCACGGGCTCGGGTGTGGGACCAGGACCAGGGGCCCTCGTGGCCCGCCCCCCGGCCCCACCCAGTGGGCCCCCCCCCGCACACCACGCACACGAGGCACGGGTGTCCCCACCACGCCGTCACGCACGTCTGTGGGGCTGTGCCGTCCGCGGGCCCCGCAGCTCCCGGACCTGCCCCCCACCCCCAGGTGCTAACGCTGCCCTGTTTTCTCTGCTTGCCCCCCCCCCGCCGTGAAGTCCTGGCCATGCACGAGAACGTCCTCAAGTGTCCCACTCCGGGCTGCACGGGGCGAGGGCACGTGAACAGCAACCGGAACTCGCACCGCAGGTAAGCCCGCGTGCTGTGCCGCGCCCCCTGCCGGCGGCCCTCCGGAGACCCACGCGTCCCCTGCCCGTGCCGGAGGCTGCGGTCCCCTGGCTCTCGGGGGCTCCGGTGCTTAGACCCCTTGCTCAGACGGGCTTTTCGTTGTCTCGCCCACCTGGGAGGTGCCACTCCGGGGGGCAGCAGCCGAGGTGGGAGGGGACCCGGAGAGCACGCAGCCGAGGCTCCCCTGTCCCCCAGGGGGCGGGAGGGGCCGTGTCCCGGGCGCCAGGCACAGGGGGCGTAGGGCCCCGGAGGGCTGTGAGGCACGTGACGCGGCGCGGCTGCCCCCCGACTCTGCCCCGGCCCCGTCCCGGTGCGGACCGCCAGGCAGGCAGGCGTCGGGAAGGGGTGGCGTGCGGCTCAGCACCAGGGGGCTGAGCTTCTCCCGACCTGCCGCTGCCCTCCCGCGCCCCAGGCCAGGCCCACCTTCCTCACCCCCCCTCCTGCGTCCGGCCTCTGCTGCGTCGCCTCGGGCTCAGCCGGAGGCGTCCTTGTGGAAGGCAGTTAGTTTCCCGTCTGACAGCCCACCTCAGCCTCGCGGCTCCCGTGAACCTGCCCCTAAACGGGACCACCCAAGCGTCGCTTGAGGCCTCGCTGTCCCGACTGGCGAACCCGGTTCCTTGTGGGAAATGTGTAAGGAAACAAGCAGCAGCCCCACCTCCGAGAGCCAGAGCGGCCTGCGCTTGAGCCGCAGGAGGGGCCGGGCGGGGCAGGGGCTCAAGGGTCATGCTGGGCACGCCTCGACAGCCCATTCCCACGCTGGCCCCTCGGCCCCACCTTCGCACAGACACAGGCACGCAGACTGAGGGCCCCGGGGGCCTGCACCCCGGGGCCATGCAATACCGTGGGAACCACAGGCGCCGTGGTTTCAGAGGAGCAGACTGGGGGGCTCGTCCGTGAGGACTCTGCTCTGAAACAGGGCCCGGCAGCCCTCCAGGGCCTCCGCCCGCCCCCGGCTCTGCTGGGGGGGGTGGGGGCAGCCATGTGCTAGGTCTGTGGGGCTCACTCACACGGCCAGTCCGGACTCCCGGCCCCGGTGCCAGGCAGAGCCCGGCTCACGTTGCTCAGGCCCGGCCCCCCCCGCCCCCGTGGTGAGCCCTCCTCTGCAGAACCCTGCACACCCGAAACGGAGCCTGTGGCCAGAGACATTGGCACCAGCTCACACTCCCTGGAGCGTCTCGAAACTCACTGGCTGTCTGGGAAGAACAGAGTGCCCTCTACACCGGGCGTGGCCGGCAGCCCTGTCTGCTGGGGACAGGCGGGGACACGCCAGCTCTCCTGTCCCGGCCGTGGGGAAAGCAGGCTCAGTTTGGGGAATGGCCCCCCCCCCGCCCCTGCCTGGGGTCTGGCTGTGCCGGTTGGGGGGGTGGCCGGGCGGGTGTGCCACAGAGCCGCCTGGGAAGACCGCTGACCCTGCCTGTCCTTGCAGCCTCTCCGGATGCCCGATCGCCGCGGCGGAGAAGCTGGCCAAGGCCCAGGAAAAGCACCAGAGCTGCGACGTGGCCAAGTCCAGCCAGGCCTCTGACCGCGTGCTCAGGTACCGGCCCGGCGCGCGCCGCCCCTCGAGCCCCGGGCGCACCGCGGCCGGCCCGCCCCGCGGCCCCGGGAGAGCCAGCTGTCGCTTGTCTCTCGTCTGCTTACAGGCCGATGTGCTTTGTAAAGCAGCTGGAGATCCCTCACTACGGCTACAGAAACAGCGTCCCCACCGCCACGCCGCGCTCCAACCTGGCCAAGGAGCTGGAGAAGTACTCCAAGACCTCGTTTGAGTACGGCGGCTACGACGGCCACACCTACGGCAAGCGGGCCATAGCTCCCAAGGTGCAAACCAGGGACATATCCCCCAAAGGATATGATGGTAGGAGGTGCACACTCTTCTACACGAGAGTCGCGCTTGCCGTTGATGATGTTGTTGTTGTGTGTGCCCGTGTCCTACAGGCCGGCCCCGCATGCGGCCGCTCGCCGGGTCCCAGAGGGCAGCACACGCCACGGGGGCCCCCGGGCTCATCGCGAGGGTCCTCGGGGTGGGGGGGCGGCGGGGACCACGCGGTGGACAGAGAGCCGTGCTCGTCTGCTTCCCACCCACGGTGGCCGGGGCCGTGTCCTCATCCCTGTGGACGCCCTTGCACAGGCGGCCCAGCCCAGCCGAGCCGGGACAGCCGGCGGCAGCGGCGGCGGCCCGAGTCCTGGGCAGTTTGGGGAAGGCCTGTGCCCCCTGCCCCCGTCTCAGCCCAGGGTGCACCCTGGCTGGAGCCATCGGGGAAGCCGTGAAATGCTAGTGTCCAGGCTGCGCCCCACCCCTGGCAAGCCAGAACGCCTGGTATCCCCCGGGCGGTGGCCTTTTTAAAGTCCCCACGACCGTCCTGCGCAGCTGGGGACGGGTGACTTCTGCTGCTGTCACCCAGCACCTCCAGCGGGCGGGGACCCTGGCCTGCCCCCTCTGCGCCCCGGGCAGCAGGCCCTGCTGGGACGTGCCTGTGTCGCTGGCGCACTCGGGGCCACCGCGGCACTCACCGGCAGGCCACAGCCAAGGGGTCTTCCCACCAAACCCTGTGCTCCCCAGGAACAAGGCCGTCGGAGCCCCCCCCCGCAGCGGGGTGGGGTGGGGGAAGCCATGACCTCGGCCTGGCTCTTCCCAGAGCTCCGGGTCTGTGGGGGGTCGTGGGGGCGACCGCACTGCTGTGATTTCACCTCGTTCGTCAACCGGCCGTGTCTGAAGCTCTGGGCCCAGACACAGGCTCCTCCGGCGGCGCTACTGGCCGTCTGGGGCCACGTGACGCCCCGTCTCCAGCAGAGGCGGGGAGACCGGTCTTGGGGGGCCTTCGAGCCCCTTCCTGGAAAAGCTCGTTAAAATCACAGCCGAGGTTCATTTAAGCTGGATGCTCGGGGAGTTCTGAAACCTTTTCATGGTGCTCCTTGCCTTGACGACAATTAATTGGTATAGTGAATAGAACTTAGTATTTCTTTGATATATCAAATATCGATTATCCTTGCATGTATCAATTCTTAACGTGTAGGAACAAAGGTACCAATGGAAAAGAGGGAGTCACCTACAGGACAACGGAAAATAATTATCGCGTTTTGTTTATTTTGTAATAATAATTTCCCAGCTTCGGGTTTTGTTATAACTTTGTTCATTTAACTGCACATGAAAGATCAGAGGACCTGAAGCCACGTACTTGAGGGTTCTGCTGGCACCGTCGCCAGCGCGCTGGCCTTGCGCATGCTGTGACGCGGCCCTCGACTGGCTGCTCCCGCCGCCGCCGCCGCCGCGCTCTGTGGCCGGGCCCCTCGGCCTCGGCCTCGGCCACGGTGGGGCCCGCAGAGCACTTGTGCGGGGCGGTGGTGGCGCCCGGCAGACAGTCAGAAGTCGGACCTGCTGGGGCTGGTCCCGGCTCTCTGAGTGGGTGGGCGCCGTGTGATGCTGGACACGCCCACCTTCCCGCGCGTCCGTGCCCAGGGCAGAGCGGAGGGCGCAGCGCCCGCCCCACCCGCTCGGGCTGCCGGGGCCACCCGGGCAGGACTCTGAAGAGGGGGTGGACGTTGCGTGAGTTGTTGGCGTTAACTCTCGCTGCCCAGAAAGGAGCACCTGTCGTCAGAGCGTGGGCAGAGCCGTGCTGTCCAGCTGACCCCCAAGAAAACAGGGGTACAGAGGAAAAGCGTCACTATTAGGCCTCCAAGGAAATAAGAAAACAGGAAAGACACCCTCGTCGCACTGAGTGTGCCCTGCAGAGAAGCCCTGTGGCCCCGGTTCTCACCCATAGACGCGCCTGGTGGGCGTCTCAGGCGTTGGGAGGGGCCCGCTGAGGGTGCTCGGCTGGGCCCGGCCCGGGCGGGGGGAGCGGGGGGGGGGAGTGGGGCACCCCACAGAGGACCGCAGCCAGTGGTCCTCTGCCCAGGCGTGCCCCCGAGACTTGCTCTAGGTGCACAGGGAATCGGGTCCTCGCTCCTTGAAAAGAGACAGTGAAATAAGCCTGCCGTGTGTGTTGGGGGCTGGGGGGGGGGGCAGTGCTTGGGAGCGGGGGTGGCACCCCGGGGCGGCCAGAGGGACAGGGAGGGCAGCCCTTCTCCCACCATCCACTCAGCGCCACTGAGACCCCACCCGCCATGAGCGGAAGCCCGCGGCACAGGGACGCACGGTGGCTGTCTGTCTGTCCACCTGCCTGTCTGGTCCACCCCTCTATTTATTCACCCACCCAGCATCCACCCACCCGCCATCCATCGCCCGTGACTCGTCCGTGCGCTCCTCCGCCACCCATTCGTTCATCCACCCGCCCACCCACGTACCTTCCCGTCCATCCGTCTGTGCATTTGTCTGCCTGTCTACTGCCCGTCTGTCCATTCTCCCCTCCTGGTGGGAAGGGTCCAGAGAGGGCCTGTGGCTCGAGAGCAGACAGGGAGAGACGCTCGCGCACAGTGAGCCGAGGCGTCCCTCGTGCCGGCAGGAGCCCATCCGAGCTCTGCCCAGCGGCCGGTGTTAGACAGCTGGGTAGACTTCACGAGCAGTGGGGGGAAGGTCGGGGCAGGGGTGGGAGGAGAGAGAGAGGGAGAGAGAGAAGCCACAGACCCGCGGGTCAGCGGGGACCTCGGGGCGGGGGGGGCGGCGAGGCTGCAGGCGCCGCCCGTGAGATGAGGGACGGGGCGGGGACGACCTCGTGGGGGCGGGGAGACGCAGACCCGAGGTCCACGTGCAGGAATGGACACGGAGGGAAAGCGGGGGGAGGGCAGGGGACTCGAGCCAGGGTCCCGCGCCTGCCCCCGCCGCGGGTGCCAGGCCGGTGCCCCCCCCAGACCCCGGCACAGCCTGCTGCTCCCCCGGGAGCCGGGAACAGCCCTTCCAGCTGCGAATGCGCGGGGGAACCCGAGAAGATGCTGTGACGTGCACACGTGCTGTGAAACTCGCATGTTGGTGCTCGCGAGTTAAATGCCCCGCCCCCTTCTTGGCCCCCTCGGGCGCGGGGCGGAGCGGCTGGGGCAGAGGCCCAGCCGCCGGCACTGACGGTCTCCCCCCGGGCCGGCTGCCGGCCCCCCCGGGCGGCTGCACACCCACAGCCACAGCCCCCTGAACGGCCTTTCTCGGCTTCTCCGACCCCGACCTCAACACCCCGTCCTCCCCTCGGCCCCTCCTTCCTGTCTTCTGTCCTGCCGATGCCCGGGCCTCGGGGGCGAGGGCAGGGTCTCAGGGAGCTGCCCTCCCCCACTAGTAGTCCCCAGGGCTGGTCCTCCTTGCCCCCCCCCCGCCCCCCGCCAGCCCCTCGCTGGAAGGGCCCCCCGCTCCCCCACCAGGTGCTGCCCCGCCTGCACTCAGCCGCCCTCCTCACGACCGATGCCCCGGTCCGCTCGTGTGGGAGGGGGAGCCCACGCTGCCCCACACGCAGCCCTGGGTCCCCTCCCGGGTAACGCCCCGGGCCTGGTCTTCCCGCTGGCCTGGGAGCTCCCGCAGAGTGAGGGGCCCCGCGTTCAGATTCGCACCCGGCGGCCCCGGGGCTGGGCAGGCGGCCTGAGGCTGACAGAGAGAGGGGTGGGGAGAGAAAAGGGGGGATAGAGTGGGGGAGGACAGCCACGGGCCCCTCTCGTGTCAGGCACGTTAAACCCCGTGAGGAGGGGACCTGCACGCAGGCGTCACCTGAGGGGCAGCCTTGCAGGAACGCCCCTTCGCCGCCCCCCCCCAGACGCGCACCCGGGCTTGGGCCCCCCCGTGCGAGCGACAGAGGTGCCCACGCAGACCCAGAGGCGGAGGCCGCCAGGCCCCCGGGTGGGACGGACCCTCGGGAAGCTCACCCGTGAGCCGCGTCCCGTCCTGCCTGGTCTTCCCGGGCCCGCGGGACGTGAGTGAGGGCGCCCCCACCTTCTCCCCGGAGCAGCGGCTCCAACCGGGGCCATCCCGTGGCCCCCACAAACTGACTGCTGAGGTTCTGCAGTGCACCGAAAACACGTCTTTGCCAATCTGACAAAAAAAAAAAAAAAAGATAGGGGTAATGTTGACTCGTTTACGCCAGCCGGCTGTGGCTGTGTTGGCTGCTGCTGCTGCTGCTGCTGTTTCTCAGTCGACAACCCCAGGGGCGAGCGGCCGGCGCCCCTGACTCGGGTCCGGCGTCACGAGCTTTAGCGTTCCCGTGGCGCCCGAGCAGAAATCCCTGCCTCTCGGGGATGCGCGGATGCGGGAGACGGCGGGCGCCTCCGGGAGGGCGAGGCACCTGGGCAGTTAGACTCCCTCCCGCGGGCAGAGCAGGTCCCACAGCAGGTCCTGGCTGGGAGGGGGGTTTGCTGTGTTTGGTTTTATCAACCGTATTTCACCCGCACGGACGCCGCACGGTTTCTCCTTCTCCAGCAAGGGCGGCCGCCGCTCTGAGGGGCGCTTCTCCCTGTGGGGTGGGCCGCGGGCCCGGCCAGGGGGACCGCAGCTCCCGTGGGGCCAGGTGACACGCTGGCACCTGGACGGGTGTCAGCAGGCTCCTCCTGGCTGCCGGCTGCTCGGGCCCGCGCGGCTGAGACCAGCCCTGCTGCCAAAGGAAACGCCCACGCCCTTGGGGGTGGGGCAGGGCTTCCCCCGCGCCCCCCCCCCTGCTGGGGTTCCCTCTGTGGGGAGGAGGGGCTGGTGCCCCCTGGGGCCAGGGGCCAAGCAGTCCCTGTGCCTGCGGCTCTGCATCACCCCCTGGTGTCCACACAGTGCAGCCGCAGCCCACTGACCCCAGGGCTCTGTGAAGGTTCCCCAGATAAACCAGGGTCCAGGGCCTTCACCGCCCAGCAGGTTCGAAGTATGGAGGCTCTGATTTGCATTTAGATCAAAACGCTCAGTGAAGGGGCCCATCTGTCCCAGTTGCATCTGGAGTGGAGTTGGGGGGGGAAGGGGGGGGCATGCATCTGTCCGGCCACCCCCCCGGGCACCCTGTGGTGGGGTCTTTGGGGGTGTGCTTTTGTGGGGGTGCACATCCGTCCCCAGAGCCGGCTGCACTTTGGCGCTGGACATGCGGTGACCGGCCTGCTTTAGGAATGGAAATTCCCTCGTTTCTGGACAGAACTGCTGTTTCCCCCACGGCTGCAGGCTGCATTTTTCCCCGAGCCCGTGGCCAGCCCTCAGTAGGGCAGAAACCCCTTCTGGTTTTATTTCTCCGAGGACGTCCGTGTCCCCACCTTCGTTACAAGGGGGCGAGTGGCGCTGACCTACCGCCTTCTGCACACGTGCGAGCGTCTCGGGCTGCGCCCCGGCACCGCCCTCTCCCCGAGGGTATGGCAGGCTCCGTGGGGGCCCCGGCCCTGCTCCCTCGCCCCTGGGGGGCCCTCTGTGCCCCGCGCGGAGCACGCCGCCCACCCCGTGCCCTGTGCTGCGGGGCCAAGGCTCACTCGCGCAGGACGGAGGGCGGAGGCCCCGTGGCCCGCACGCCCAAGCGCGGTAACTGGCCCCCGCGGCTGAGCTCCTCCAGAGGGGCGGCAGCGGGGAAGTAACTCACCTCTGAGTCACCCCTGCTCGGGCGTCGGGCGTGAGTGTGGGGTGGACCCGCTGCTCCACAGGTGCAGCTCGGGGGCTGCCCAGGGGCCGCGGCACGGTCGGCGGCTGGCCTCCTCACCGCGCGGCCAGCGGGAGCCGTGAGCCTGGTCCGCGGCGTCCGTCAGGAAGGCTCGGGCTCCGGTGCAGACTCGAGAGTTGTCTTTCAGGGAAGCCTAGTTCCTTCTCCGTCTGTGTCTGGCTCAGGTGCGCCGGGGCGGCCCCTGGTGCTGCTCGCGGTGACAGACCTTGTTGCCTGCTGACGTGTGTTCTGTCACCTGCAGTTTTGCCCGCCTCTTCCCGTCGGGGGAAGGCACCGTGCCAGCCCCCGCGGGGCGGGGCCCGGGTGGCAGACCCGCCGGTGACAGTCTGGGGACCCGTGTGGAAGCAGGGTCAGGCCGCGGGCCCCCCCCACCCTCGGCAGGAATGCAGACGGGGTCCGTGCTCCAGGCTCAGGCGGCCGCAGCCCGGCAGGAGCCCCGTCCCCACCGCCCTGCGCCAGCCCCAGGCCCCTCGTGCCCACCCACGCGTCCAGTCTGGGCCCCGCGGAGCCAGGAGCTCTCCAGGGAAAGGAGCAGCGAGAGAGGCCTGTGCTTCCTCACGGGCGGCTCGCTGGGGACGCTGCAGGGAGGTGTCTTCTGGGGTCTGCCGGTGCCCCCCCCCCGCAGCGCACCTGTGCGTGACCCCCACTCCCAGGACTCGGGGGAAGTCTGGCCTCGGGGCGCTGACGACCCTGGCGGTGCTGACGGATTTATCCTCGTGAACCGTCGGCCACCAGAGGGCTCCTTCCCTGCTTCGGGGGGGGGGGGTGGGGGGCGCTCTTAGCACTCAGGGGCCCCGGGCGGCGCTGGCCGTGCGCCTCTCTATCTCCGACTGCCCGGCCCACAGGGCGCGCGTCTGCTCTCGGCCAGCCCCCGCTCACCCTCGGGTCCCCCCGCCCCCCGTTAGAATCTAGGACGACGTGTCTTCAGGGAAGAGGCGTCCTGGTCGCACGGTCTGGTGGGCACGCCTAGCCCCAGGGACGCTTCCCGAAGCGCAGGTCCCCGGGGCCTCAGGGGCCACCCAGGGCCCGAGCAGCTGTCGCCTGCACCTGGGCCGTGAGCCCCTCCCGTGAGAGGGCGCGGCCAGTCTCTCGGGCGCTGAGCGGCCCGTGGGTGCCCACCACTGCCCACAGCCCCGTGTCCCAGCCCCGCATGGAGCTATGGTGGGAGGGGGTGCGCCCGTCCGCCTGACGCGCCCCGCGTCCCGGGGGGCGGCCAGTGGGCTTCTCCTCGCGTGCTCGCCACTGGCCCCGCGCCCTCCGTGCGATGTGTGTCTGCGCGCAGGGCTGGCGGGAGGCGCGGGCGGAGGGTGCCAGGCGGGCGCGGCGGGGACCCGAGTCACCCCTGCCCTGTCTCCCCAGCGAAGCGGCTCTGCAAAGACGGCAGCCCCAGCAGCAGCGCCGCCAGCAGCTACGCGCCCAGCAGCAGCAGCAGCCTGAGCTGCGGGGGCGGCGGCAGCAGCGCCAGCAGCACCTGCAGCAAGAGCAGCTTCGACTACACGCACGACGTGGAGGCGGCCCACATGGCGGCCACCGCCATCCTCAACCTGTCCACCCGCTGCCGGGAGATGCCGCAGAGCCTGCCCGCCAAGCCGCAGGGCCTGTGTGCCGCTCGGGTACGCCGCCCCCCGCCCCCCGCGGCCGGTCCCCCGGTGGGGGGAGGGGGCGGGGCCCGCACACCCCTGAGGCCGCACGGGCCCCTCAGGACCCAGAGCAGCGGCGGTGCAGACCCCGGGGGTCCCTCGGAGCGTCCTTTGCGGCTGAAGGACGCGGTCCCGCTGAGGGGTGGCCGCGTACGGTCCCCGCGCGTCGGTGACCGTGTCCCCTTCGAGGCCCAGGCTCACGTCTGTGAACGGGCGGCACCGGGACCCTGAAGGAGCAGCAAGCCTTGAACCTTAAACCCGAGGAAGGCCGTCAAATAAAAGGCAGGGCAGAGCTGTGCCTTCCTGCGTTCCAGATGGGTCACCCAGACTAGGGAGCAGAGAAAGCCCCCGTCTGACTTCCGCAGGGACCCCCGGGCACACGGGGGCAGCTGGCTTTCGTCAGCTCGGCCCTGCCGTCTCTGGGGCGGGGCCGTCGTCGCGATCCTCTGGCCCGGGACGCACGGCCTGTGACGAGGGCAGGGGAGCAGGGTACACAGCCGTGCGGCGAGCTGCCTGCCTGGCGAGGCCACTGGGTGGCCGGGATGCGGGTGGCGTGCTCAGAGGACGTGTGAGCCGGCCTGTCCCCTCCCCCCTGGAAATCAAAGGGTGCCCGTCCATTACCGGGAGCCGCTGGGCCACGCTCTGTGGCCTTGGCCCTGACGGAGTGGCTCTGCATCAGGGTGATGTGTGTGTGAAGGGAGGAAGGTCAGTGATTTCATGTGCTGCAAATGCATTCCTCCCGTGACTATTTTTAGCCCTAGATTTGGGGAAGGATCAGGGCCAGACAGTTTCCATGGTGACCAGGGCTGCCAAATGGGAGGCTGCCACGGGGGAGGGGCTTGAGCAAGAGAAGAGAAAAGACCGTGAACCCTTATCATTTTTTTCACTTTATTAAAATTAAACGAAGACTGAGAGAATTAAATCGCACATCGTGAAGGGTAAATTAGTATGAGAGCTGGAAACTGGGAGTGCGTTTTGACAGGAGTTGGTGCAGACTAAGACTGTAATTTATCAAGGCAGCAGCCCAGGGATGGGGTTCCATTCCCAGCATCTCCCCGCGGCCGCTCCGCCCCAGGGAAGAGCTGCCGGGTGTCGGCGTCGGCGTCGGGGTCCCCGCCAGCTCGGAGCCCGGCCGCGTCCGCGGGCTCCCAGGACCGCGGGGCATTCGACTGCCCTTCTCCCCTTCACACACCCTCCCCCCCTCCCCCTCCTGAGAGGTGCGCTGGCAGGAACCCTCGATCCCTTTCAAAGCACCTTCAGGAAAAAAGGGACTCGCCCTGGACTCCTTTGTTCTTTACGCCGGCGACTGAACTGCCGGTTTGCTGGGCTGAGCGCCGGCCAGGCCGTGACCTCGGCAGCGTCAGCCTCGGGCGCTGGGAGGCCCTGGTGGCCCCCCTGACGATGGACGGACGAGTCTCTGCGTCGTTGTGGGGGGTCCAATCAGGGGTCAGTTCTCGCTCCTCCCCCCCCAACCCCCGTTCTTTTGTTTTCTTCCTCTGCACGTCTTGAAGCATCATCTAGCACCCGTGAAACCGAACGAGAATGTTTAAGTGTATGTCCATTCCAAGAGTGTGTCATTTTAGGGATGAGTGTATACTCTGTGCGCACACGCACACACACACATTATAATTCTGACCTCGTACCAGGTGTTGGAAGTGGAGAGAAACCGAAGTCAGGCGTGCCCCGGCCTCTCCTCCGGCCAGGCCTCCTTCCAGAAGCAGAGCTGTGCGGGGGGTGGGCAGGGGGGGTGAAGATGGGTGACAGACCTGACCGACAGAGGACAGGCGAGGACAGGTGGGAGGGGGAGAGTGACAGGCGGATGAACACAGGACAGAGGGTGGGTGCGTGCGTGTACACACACAGGTGATGGTGGGTGGGTGGACGGATGGGTGGACGGTGGACACGCGGCAGCCTGACCAGCAGGGAGGTGGCCGCAGGCGGCTGGGGCAGCAGGAGTGAGCGGAGGGCCCACCCGCCCACCCGCCCGCGGGGGCCTGGGGAGACGGGACTTGGTGAGGTGCTCCGTCGGGGGAGGGGCCGCAGGGTCACCTGTCTGTCTGTGTGTCCGCCCGTCTGCCGCCCGCAGAACCCCGACATGGAGGTGGACGAGAACGGCACGCTGGACCTCAGCATGAACAAGCAGCGGCCGCGGGAGGGCTGCTGCCCCGTGCTGACGCCGCTGGAGCCCATGTCCCCGCAGCAGCAGGCGGCGATGAGCGGCCGGTGCTTCCCGCTGAGCGAGGGCGACTGCTGGGACCTGCCCGTGGACTACACCAAGATGAAGCCGCGGAGGGTGGACGAGGACGACTCCAAAGAGATCGGCGTAGGTCCCCCTGCGGGAGCCCGAGAGGGCACGGCATGGGGGGGGGGGGGCGCGGCCGGGGGCACGCCCTCGGAGGACGTGCCTGTTCTCCTTGAGTGGGACCGTTAGGACCCTTAGCAGTGGGACCGTGGGACATGTCTCTGGGGTTGGCCCGGGAAGGACCCGTGTGCGGCTCGCACTGGTTTGGTGAGAGAAGCCGTGGACTCTCCCGCACGATGCGTGTGCTCTTCCGCGCGAGTGCGCTCTCTCCCGGCCGCTCCGAGGAGTGGGTGAGCAGCCCACCAGCCCCCGCCCCGCCCCAGCCCGGTGGGAGGCGTGCACTGTCGTGCGGGGCGTTCCCGGCAGGCCGAGCTCCGGGCTGAGGCCGGGCATGCGCCCGGCTGGCTGCACGCTGCCGCGGGGCTCCTTGCGGCTCGGCGGTGTCTGTCCCGCCGGAGACCGGAGCTGCTCAGAGCCCCCGCCAGCCTCGCCCGGACCACCCACTCGGCTGACAGAGTCACCAGCACGCCCACGTCAAGGGCATACTCTTAAAGTGGTTAAAATGTTGAAGTTCAGGCTATTAAAATATTGGGTTGGCCAAAAAGTCCACATTTTTTCCCACAAAATAAAAGACACATTTTCACCAATATCTCTGTTGATTTGGGTATTTTGAGCATGCCAGCTCTCTCCCGCTATTGACTTCTAGTCGGAGACTCGGCCAGGGTGCTGACGAACCTCTTCCAACGCACGAGACAGCCCCACCTCGGAGAGTTCTTGGGCCGAAATGTCAACAGCACCACGAAACTTCACAAACCACTCTGACACATTCCATCAGTCACAGCACCTTCTCCACACACTGCACAAATCTTCTTTTTGCATTTTGGTTGTGTTTTTACCTTTCTTGTAATAATAAAGCATAATACACCACAATGTTGCATATTTTCTTCCATCTTCAATACTAGAATGGCTGCACAAAAAATTCACCAATTTTGATCATGTTTAAATGCTCGCAAATATGACAGCTGTAACAATACAATGTAACAAAATTATTTCGAAGTTAAAAACCACTAAGCACCCCTAGAGCCGAGGTATGGAAAAAACGTGACAAACTTTTTGGCCGGCCCAATCATCATAATATCCTTTAGGCTAAGCAAAGAAAAACTTGTTTTTTATTGGGCTGACTTTGTTTTCCAGTGTTCAGTCCTGAAAATTATAACAACTCCATTCACTGAAAAAGGAAACCTCTTTTTAAAAAAAATATTTTATTTATTTTAGAGAGGGAAGTGAGGGAGAAAGAGAGAGAGAGAAACATCAATGCACGGTTGCTGGGGGCCGTGGCCTGCAACCCAGGCATGTGCCCTGACTGGGAATCGAACCTGCGATGCTTTGGTTTGCAGCCCACGCTCAATCCACTGAGCTACACCAGCCAGGGCGGAAACCTCTTTTTTAATGCCACGGGGAGACCACCGCCAGCAGAGCATTAGCACCCCACAGAAACGAGGAGGTGGAGACGGGAGACGCCCACTTTTGCAGGAATCGGTGGAAAGCGTCTCTTTGTGGGGCCCATTGTCTGCCTTCTTCAGACCGAGCCTTGGGACGGGAGGGGCAGGCAAGCCACGTTCCGCAGTGGTTTTCTCTGCCGCAGCGGCGTCATTAGAACAGCGCGAGGCACCCCGGCTGAGTCTCCGAGTCCATTTCAGCGAACGTTCGGCCCTCGTAAAGGGACAGAAGTATCTGCATCACGCAGACTGTTACGGAGTAGACACGGTGCCGGGTTCCGGAGACTCGTTCGCTCAGCACTGCCATCTGTAGGAGTTCCCGGGTCACTGCAGACAGGCCCCCTTCCCACAGAAAGAAAAGGCTGCACAGGAACGATTTAAATAAAACTGCAGGGTCTGACCCGATGTCCTCGCGCCGGGACGTGAGGGCCCGGGTGCCGTGGCCCGCGGTGACTGCCAACACCGCGCGCAGTCCGAGATCGCAGGCGTGGCGCCGGCGGCACTGTGTGGCCAGGCCGGGGTGACGCGGGCAGGGCAGCCTGCGCCCATGGGGGCGGGCGGGACGCTGGGTGAGAAAGGCCGGCGCAGAGGTCACCCTCCCTGTGGCCAGGTCACCGGGCGCCTCCTGTGGGCACGGCTGATGGCGTCCTGGACCAGACCCTGCCCCCTGGGGCGCCCTGGGGCAAGTGCCTGTGACTCCAGAGGCCGGGAGCCGTTGGCGAGCCGCTGGGTCCCGCACCGGACAGAGAGGCTCTGAGCAAATTTCAGCCCGTGCTTTCTTTCGGGAGGGGCCCTGAGGGGCCTGGTGAGATTGCAGGCGGGGTCGGGGGTGCGGAGGAGCAAGGGGCAGCCGCCCCAGCCGGGGACGCGGCCCCGCGCCTGCGTGGCCCTGACGCCGTGTCTCTCCCGCAGCCGGAAGACCTGGACCCCTTCCAGGAGGCTCTGGAAGAGAGGAGGTACCCGGGCGAGGTGACCATCCCCAGCCCCAAGCCCAAGTACCCCCAGTGCAAGGAGGGCAAGAAGGACCTGATCACGTAAGCGGGGCGCCAGGCGCGCCGTCCCCCCGCCTCTCTGTCCCCCCCCCCCGGCTTACCCCCGAACCCCGACCCGCACCTGCCTTGCCATCCGAGCATGCGACGCCGCGGCACTTGAACGTCTCGGGCTGCCGCCGCGCGGCCGCGGGGACGCCACCCGCGGCCAGCCACGCGTCCTGCAGCTTCTCTCCCGGGCGCCGACCCCCTTGCAGACATTGCAGCTAAACTGGAAACAATGAAACTTCCTAAAAGTTTTTTTTTTCTAAACCTGCTTACTATTCTGGCTGTTCTTGTTTTTGTCTGGTGGCAGATGTCCAACACCAAGGTGTGATGGGAGTGGTCATGTGACTGGTAATTACGCCTCACATAGAAGGTGTGCCTTCCTCTTTCTCATGGTGGATTCTGTCTCCCCGATTTATTGTTTTCAGCTTACCTCAACAATGCTGTCAGAGTGACGCGTTCAGCTGTGTGTCGCCCCCCGAAGTGCTCTGTGTTGACCTTTAAAAGCATGCTCACGGGTGTGTTGTATAATGCGTTTTCTCTGGAGACAAACCGCCTGATTGGGAGGACTCCTCACACGCAGTTCAAGCAAAGAGTGCAAATGTTTTGCCTTTCAAAAAATGGTTGATTGACAGACATGTTTTCTTAAATTTCTATGTCACCACGTGCGGAGTTGATTGTTCAAAAAATTCAATATACAGCACTCGCCCCATCGCCTTTCTGCATCCGACTTTAATTTCCATGCCATGTTGTTTGTCCGGGAGGGCCCGCTGGCCAGAGGGTGACTCACGGACTCTGCGGGCCTGTCTTCCAGTCTGTCGGGCTGCCCCCTGGCTGACAGAAGCATCCGGAGCATGCTGGCCACCAGCTCACAGGAACTCAAGTAAGATTCGGCGGGAGTCATTCTCTCTCTGAGGTCCCTTCCCTCGGCGGGAACAGGGCGGGTGTGTCGCTGGAGTCGAAAGCTGCCCTTACCGGGCCGCCCGTGCACAGCAGTGCGGGGCCGGGGGCCGGGGCCCGGGCGTGGTGGGGGTTGCCGCCTGGTGGCCCATGCTGCCTTTCCCCCTCGCCGGTCGGCAGCCCTGCCCCGCCGTGCCCTCCCTGTCTGGAACTGTCCGCAGCAGGGTGCTCGCTCCCGCACGGCGGCTCGGGGCAGGGGGGCCTCCGAGTTGCTCAGACTTCCGAGAAAAGATCGTAACATAGAAAGTCGGAAGTGGATGTCCCGAAAGTCAGCAGTTAGCACGAGTGTCTAACATGCAGACGCGCCCCTAGCGCCACGGCAGAGGCTGCCAGGGCCAGGGCTGCTTCCCTGGGTCCCCGCGGCCGCGGCACCGGCACCCTCGGGCGACTCACACAGCTCACCGTCCCCGTGGCCGGGCGCTCGCGCACACACGCACCCCTCTGGCCGTCGGGCCTCTGTCTCCCCTTGTCTGTAATTCTTTCTGCATTTTAAGTGTAAACCTGGCCGCCTGTGTCCGCACCCCAGACCAAGGCGTCTCCCCTCCCACACGCACACGGTCGGCCCCGTGCCGCTCCCGGACAGGCTCTGGGAGGAGCTGGTTCGAGTGCCCCAGAGCCGGTGGCGCACTGGCAGGAGGCCGCCGCGGGCCGGGGTGGGAACACGGCCGGTCCGCAGTGCGGCGAGAGCCACGGGCCCCCGGTCACCGTCACAGGCGTCACCGTGTCACGTTGCGTGGCTTCCATCCCGTTTGGAAACGGCTCTCTCACCGATGCAGAGAGACTGCCGTGGGCAGACCCTGTCTGCGTGACGGCACCCCCGGGGCCCCAGCCCCACCGCACCCCAGCCCGTCGCCAGGCTGCCCCAGCGCGTGGGGCTCTGTTTCACACCGTGTCGTTTTTTACAGGATCCCTGTCCAGGGCCCTAGTGCCATAGATCACCTGCTCATGTTCAGTGACCTCCTGAACTAGCCCTCCCGTCGCCAGACCACCGGCGTCGCCTCCGTGGCCCGCTCGCACCGGGAGGGCCCCCTCTTGCCGGCAGTGCCGCCCGTAGCCTCGCCCACACGGGGCCCCGTGGGCCCAGAGCTGTTAGCACGCAGCGCGGACAGAGTTAGCAAGAGCGACTTGACCCGCGGGGTCGCGGCACCTCTGCTCGTGGCTTGCAACCGCCCTCCCCTCAGGGTCAGCGCGGGGCTCCCCGCGTGCGCCCCTCGGCCCGCGTGTCACGATGTGGGCGCGTCCCTGTGACTCTCTTAACGAGGAGGCCTTGCGCACGTCTGGCCTGTCTCCGTCTCCAGCGGGCCCGCGGTCGCCAGGGAACGGCCTTCAGGGTCCCAGCCCCCCGGAGCCCAGAGCCGTGTCCTGCGGGTCTGCCTCGCGCCGGTCCCCATCCCTTGACTCCGGGCCCAGACGCGTCTGTGGCTCTGCAGTGCCTGTTCCGTCCGGGAAGACGGGGCTCGGTCCTCCCTGTCGGCGTCTTCAGAGGGGGCGCCCGCCCTCCCTCTGCCCGCCCCTCCCCGGAGGGGGCCTTGTCTCCCGGAGGGGGGTGCCTTCGCCCCCTTCCGGCTCATCTGACGGCCACACTCCTGTCTCAGCCTGTCCTCGCGGCGTAAATCCCGTGTGGATGGGCCCTTTCTTGGAAATCTAAGACCTGGCCGGTTTTCTGAAATGGTGTGTGTGTATTATTGGATCTTCAAAGTAGGGATTCCAATTAAATGTATGCAATAAAAAGTAATATTTAAATGAGCAGTTTTTACTGGATGTCTGTTCGAGCTGGGGAGACCACAGGCTGTGTCTTCCTTCGCCCTCTGCCCCGGCGAGTGCCCTCCCTCCGTCGCTCTTCCGTCCGAGCCGCGGGTGCGGACTCGCCCCTTGAAGACCGCGCCGCTCTCCCGGGACTGAGTCGCGCGAGTGCTCTCGGCGGCAGCTTCCTCTTTGCCTGTAGCTGTAGAGCTCCGGCCGGCGCCCGCCGCGGCAGCCTCTGCCCTCGGGAGTGAGGGGGCCGTGCCCTCGGGGACGGTGGTTCCTGCTGCTCCCTAAAGACATGCGCAGGAGTGGCTCCCGACCCCTCAAACCCCCTCCATCGTGCACCGGCTAGGCGCTGGAAGTTTCCAGAAACGTCCCTCTTGTGTCTTCTGACTCTGGCTGTGAGGCAGTCGGCCACTGACAGGACCTTCTTGACCGCGGACTAACGACGGACTTTGCCCCAGGTGGACTCTGGGTCCCCCTGGTGGACCCTCAGACCTCTCGCGCATCCTGAGGTGACGCTTGTCTTGGTTCCGCCCCAGAGCAACACATCTGGGGTCTTCTTAGAAAGAAGCCGGTAATCTCACATGCCGTTGTGTGCAGCACGCACACTGAGCACGTGTTCGAGTCTGACTAACGTGCACACAGATGCCACCCAGGCCCCGGAACCGCCGCGCTCTCTGGCCCCGGGTCCGTCCGGTGCAGAGAACGCCGGTCGGCGGCGGCCCTCCCAGGGCGGGTGAAGCGACACTTGCTGGAGGCGGGGGGCGGGGGGGGGGTGCCCTGCGTCACACAGGCTGGGTGGCCCCGCGACTCGCCCCGGGCACCGCGTGCGCACGCCCCACGGCTCCGCCATGTGCCCCCATGAGGCCCTGGGCCAGACGGGAGAAGAGGGCTGTGCCACGCGAGTGTCCTTGTTCGGTGAAAGCGCCGCTGCCGTGGGCCCTGACGCCGAAGGGAGGTCTCTTCTCCTGGAGCCTCCCCCGCTCAGGCCGAGCGGGCAGGGTGCACGTCTAATAATCAGGGCGCGGTCTTTAGTGCGTGGGGTGTCCGTGCGACATCCAAGGCAGAGCGGGGCTTCTCGGCCAGAGGGGGCGCTGTGCAGCCCCCTGGGCCCGGCCTCCTTGTCCAGACTCGGGCGCCCTGGGGTGCAGACGACCTCGGCGCACGGGGGCTCCGTGGCCTCTCCCGCGCGGGCGGGTTTCTCGGGAGCATCGGCAGGACTCGAGGGAAGGAAATGCGTGAGCTGACCGAGCGGTTTCTCGGTGGCCTTGACCCACCTGCGCGGTGAGTCCCGAGCCGAGGACTCTGGCTCTCGGCCCAGCCCCGGGGCCCCTGGGGTGTGGGGGACGTCACCGCAATCCACCCTCTTGTTGGGGACGAAGGGCAGCCGGCGACGCCAGGCCGTGGCCCTCCCGGGAGCCGGGGTCCATCCGGGACACCCCGTCAGCGCCCCCTTCTCGGGGAGTCTGACACCCGCCAGCGGCAGCACCCAGAGGTGAGGCTGCTCCCGCCCCCGAGGGGCTCGTGGCCAGAGTTTCCCGGCCAACCAGAGAGGCCGGGTCTGTCTCACTCGGGGCGTCCCTCCCAGGGTGGATGGGGCTGAGCGGAGACACCCGGGTCGGGGGTCAGGATCGGGGTCGGGGTCGGGGACTGTGTCTGGGCCTCAGGCGGGTGTTGTTCCGTGCGGAAGGACGGCTGCGGCCGGCCTGGCCGGGGGTGGGGGGGCGAGCACGTGGCGGGAGGTCGGGGGGGGGGCTCGGGGCACAGCGAGAGGCCGCCTGCCCACAGGGGGGACGCGTGGCGAGGGTCCCCAGGAGAGCCGCAGGGCTGGACTGGACACATCCCGGGGCTCAGCTGTGTCCTGGGAGGACCGCACCCGGACCCTTGACTGAGGCAGCGTCCTGGGGCTGGAGGGGCGCTCGCTGCAGGGAGGGTGGGGCTGGGAGGAAGCCGGGCCCTGGGCCTCTAGAGCAAGGCTGGAGGGGGAGGGGAGGCTGGACCGGAGTGGACACTCCAGGCCCCCCCCCAACCCCAGGTGGACAGCGTGGCCACTGCAGACAGGCAGCCGCCCTGGTCAGCCCGGGGCCCCGGGGGCGGGGCCGGCATCCGGGAGCCCGGGCCAGCGCCGCCTGACAGGCTCTCGGGCTCACGGGCGGGGGCCTGGCACAGCCCCCCGTGACACGGCCGGGCTCCGAGGGCCCGGCCTGCACCCTGCTCCCGGGGGAGGGGTGCCCGCTCGCTCAGGGCCTCAGGGCCCGAACCCAGTGAACCGCCGGGAACATAGTGGGTCCGCAGTCCGCGGAGGCGCAGAGCGATGCGAGTCGCGTCCGAAAGCGTCTGGACCTTTGTCGGTGGCGACGGGCCAGGGACCTTTGCCTCGGCCAGTCCCGCCCCAGGACACAGCGCCCTTCCCCTCGAGGAGGCGTCTCACCCTCCGCCTGCCGTAGCCGGCACTCCCCCGGCCCCGGCCGTGCACGCCGGCCCTGCGCGGGTCAGCCCGCGGTGGCCGTGGCCGGCTTGAACTCGGGCACAGGGCCCCCGCCCTTTCTCTGGGATGCAGGGGGGCTGGGGGGGTGTAACTCAGTCAGCGCTGCCCGGGAGACGCCCGGGAGACGCCCGTGATGGGTTTGGGAGACGGTCCGAGTCCAGAGCGAGGCCACGGGGAGAATGTTCCCTGGGAAACACTTCTCAGCTCCCGTTTGCCCACCAGAGAGCACCGAGTGAGACTGCCGTTCTCTGGACAAGCGACAGTGACTCGTCATCTGGTCAAAGGTGAAGCTTATCCTTCGACTGAATTCATTTTCCACCTTCCGAATTAGTTCCTTTGTGAGACACACAGCGCACTGGAAGCGTGCGAACAAAGGGAAAGGATTATTTTCCTTAGGGTTTTAAGTACCACGGTCTCACGGTTATTTCACGTATACACATGTATGTTTATGTGTAGTGTGCACACATGTATGTGTGTAGTTTGTTGTTGCCATCGGTGCTGTGCGGTCTGGACCCGCAGGCAGACCCGCCAGGCCCTTTCCCAGAGCAAGTCAGATGGTCTGGGCGTCCCCCGCGTCTGGTCAACCTGGCCCGTCCCGACCCACGGGAGCCGATCCCCCAGTCACCGGGGCAGCCCCGTCCCCGCCACAGGCACTCCGGGCCGGCCGCTGGGCGGGGGTGTCTGGC